TCATCATTTTCATCGGACTCGAACTTTAGTATGCTTAAATAAAAATTCATATCATGAAGTGTGACCTTGACTTTTGAGCCAGAGACAAAATTCTTGTGTCAAATTGTCATTATACCTTAAATAATTTTGCATAATAGATTTTAAATGCTTTTAAAATGTTGAAATATTGTAGAAACAAACGTCAACAAAATGCAGATTAAAATGTTGAAATATAGAAGAAACAAATGTAACCAAAAGTGCAGATTAAGGTGTTGAAATTTGTAGATAATCTACGGTCACCAAAATGCAGATTAAAATGTTGAAACATTCAAGCTACAAACGTCACCAAAATGCAGATTAAAATGCTGTCCCATCCAAGTTATATTATGAACATTTAAAATTTATCACATGTATATAGAAATGCCAAACTGTCATTGGCCGACTTCTTTTAAATTAGAAAAGGCCGTAACTGCACATTGTATAATAAACATAACATGTGACGACAATGCAAAATTGCCATTTTATATAAAATGGTATTCGTATTTCCCTTACTTTTGCTTTCTTATGGCATACTATTATATCAATTATGCTGATATATTTTTAAAAATAAGTTACGTGGCTACAGGAGTTACATACACGTCTTTGTTTAAACAGAGCGACAAACTATATATTCAATGATTACGTTATCAACGCCATTCCGGACCGCATCCGTATAAAATAAGGATATCATTTATGTCGTATTTTTTTGCATACAGTTTCACGCCTAATCCTATTGAGCTCTCCTCCTGTTCGTAACATATGGTACAATTTAAATTCGATGCATGTGTATCGTCCAACAGAGATCTCGTGATCTCAGTACGATTTTCATAAAGACAATTGTTAATCACGAGAACAAAAAAAAAAAGGCAATTACTCGATATGTCCTCGGACATAGTGTTTACTCATGAGTGCCCCTAACAGCTTTTCTTCGGCGCTCTGAAATATTTGACGTAATACATATAATCCCGAAGCAAATAGGATTTATCTCCTCGATTAGACACTTAATTTCAATGTGATCGTAAGTTAAACAAAAATATAGTGACACAAAAAACACTTTTACTCACACGCGACAAAGAGGATCTGAGACCATAAAATTTTAATTATTTTGGCAAAGATAAATAGACCGGAAAACGGACGGACAAAAAGGCAGTTACACAATCATGTAGATTATAAAAGAGACTGACATAAAAACAGACGAGAAACAGAGAATCCGACAATCAGACAATCAGAAAGACAGAAGTTTGTTGCAAGTTCAAAGGTGTGGGCATTTGTTCCCCTTATTGCATGATTTATACACATTTTATAGATGTCTACTAGGCAAGCTATATGCATAATATATTTATCTACAAAAAGGTAAATGTGTTTTCCAATACCATAATCTACATTAAGCACATGACTTAAGGGACAAGACCAGTTTTGACCAGAAGGTCATGATTTATACAAGTTTTGTAGAAATCTGCAAATTGATACTACATGCCAGATATCCAAGCGCTGGGTTTTGTAGCTTCACACAATAAGACTTAAATGTGTTCTTGTATGTAGGATTATATAAATCAAGTGCCCCAGGGCGGCCCAATATTCATCCCTGGGCATGACAAATATAAGTTTTGCAGAGGTTGACAAGGTAACAAGCTTAATAGTATAGCTCTTGGCATTGCAGTTTCACAAAATAAGACTGTGTGTTCTCATACAAGACTATGTCAATTAAGTAACCCCAGGCGCAGTTTTTGTAAAGGTCAATAAGGCAATGTTACATGCTAAAGCTCTGGACATTGTAGTTTCACACAATGATAACTTAAAAGTGTTTTCCTATATTAGTCTATATAAATCAAGCAATCACCGAGGATTACTTCATGGGCCAATTTTGATCTCAGGAGACTCATTTTAAGTCATATTTCTGCCAGGAAATTTAGAAACTGACACAAAATGACTTTGAACTTGACCCGGGGAAGGTCAAAACCTGCGCTTTGCATGTCGTCTCATAATGGTTAACTTTTCTGCAAAGTAGTTTCTATTTCCTTCCACACACTAAAACTGCTAAAAAACAGATGGATGGACAGCAAGCTGCATAACATTATACGCCAATTTTTTTCCGGGCATATAAAGATCATAACTATTAATTAAAACTTTATCTTGTTGGCATTATGAAACGCATTTATCATCATGAAATTAAAATGCATTTTCATTACTGCCTTATCGAGCATATTTATTAGACAAAAAAGCAACAATTAGTCCGAACATAGTCACTCGCCAAAATTTAGAGAACTATTCGATGGAACACGCCAAGGACCTTAATGCCACAACACATACATATAGTACATCACTTGGTGCTTTTTTGAAAAGGATCTGTCAACAGGTAAATGTATGGTTTAACGCCAGTTTAACGTGTACGTTACCGTTGAGTAGAAATAACGCTTAAGTAACCATTATTTTGATATAACTTAAAGTCTAATTTAGTATATTATGACTGTGTGATGAAATTTAAATAAAAAAGAAAACCAAATGCAAGAAAGGCTTTATGTTTTATTTTGTACTTTTTAAATATATAAGCAAATTTATGACACAACATAAGGGAATTTCTGGGAAAACAAACAATATCCATTCTACTCCATTTGTAAAGCTTCTATTAAACAAGAAAACTGTTCAATTTCATTCTAATCTTGTTTTACAAAAAGTAACAGACTACAGTCATATAATATAGGAACGTAGCCAAAATTACTTTCATTTGCCATGATCATTTACAAAACTTTCAAATTTGTTTAAAAGGTAATAAACAAACTCAGCTAACATGCAGCACTGAAGGTAAAGTGTCTCAATAAAGTAGATGCGGGAATAAAACATGTATAATTACATTGTATCTGTTTGTCACGTGATAAATGAAATTTATTTTCCAGCCCGATAACTTTTGCTTGATTATATAAATTGTTTACTATTTTTAATATAAAAAAATTGATGAAAAAACATAAAAAATTTTAAACCAATAAAAAAAATCATAGACCAAAACCCTACCCAAATTTTACTTTAATTTCAAATATGCGTTTTTCTTTTTTTTATTTTTATTAATGAATATTTTCGGGAAATGTTTTTTGCGCTTTCTATAAAAATTTTAAGGTTTAAAAAATTTTTTCCCTTTTCCTTTTTTCGGGGAAAAGGGTGCATTCGAATAATTTTACTGAAATTCTTTCTTTCTATTATTAAATATTTTAAAATAAATAAAAACTTTTTTTTTATTGACTGGGATTGGGGAAACCCTAAAAAATTCCGGGGTTTTTTATTGGGGAAAAAACCTCCCGGTTTCGATTTAACGGAATTTTTTTAAGGGGAAAAGGGACAAAAAAGGTTTTAGGAATTGATTAAAAGGGGTATTTTTTAAATTTTTAAATTTTTAAAAGGTTTTGGTACTTTTGCTAGAGTTTTCAATAACAGAATACCACTCATTTAGAAAAATCTTTTAGCATCTGCCTTATTCTGAGTTTCAACCTTTGTGTAAACCATATATCAAATAAACCGTATTTTATAACAAAAAATGTCTTAGGTTAGCAAAACAAGGATTTTTTCTCATATCATTTTCAATTAAAGATTTTGAAAAATTATATAATAAATAATCAATGAAATTTTTGTACAACAAAATCTGAATGAAGTTGATCAAATAAGAGATGAATACAATTTTAATGATCTAAAAAAATTATTGATTACTTTTTCTATGAAAAAAAATTAATTGTTTGAAATGATTTTTTGTCTAAAAGTATTACACTGTTTTCTTCATTTACCTTTTACAATTTTAGAAATGTTCTTGTAATAGGACGTATATAAATGCACTCGTTCACCACTTGACGGTTATTCAATATTTATTTATTTCTTCTTCTTAATGTCATAATTATCATCGTATATTACTAATTTTGGTAAAAAAGGAACGAAATTATCTCCCAAGTGTGTCCAATGACATTACCTCCCAAGTGTGTTCAATGAAATTATCTCCTAACTGTACCCAAGGAAATTATCTCCTAACTGTACCCAATGAAATTATCTCCTAAGTGTGTCCAAAGAAATTATCTCCTAACTATGTCCAAAGAAAATATCTCCTAACTGTGCCTAATGAAATTATTTCCTAACTGTGTCCAATGAAATAATCTCCTAAGTGTGCCCAACGAAATAATCTCCTAAGTGTGCCTAATGAAATTATCTCCTAACTATGTCCAAAGAAATTATCTCCTAACTGTGTCCAAGGAAATTATCTCCTAACTGTGCCTAATGAAATTATCTCCTAACTGTGTCCAATGAAATTATCTCCTAACTATGTCCAAAGAAATTATCTCCTAACTGTGTAGAATGAAATTATCTCCTAAGTGTGTCTAATCTATGGATCTCTGGTTAACTCATTTACGAAGAATTTAACCAATTTGTACATTTTATTAAGTAATAGAAAGAGCATCGAAACACGAAGCTATCTGATTTGTACGAGAGGGGAAGGTGTATGTATACGATTTGACTCTGACAGATTCTCAACAGAAAACTATGATACAAACATCTGTTTATGCGTAAGCAAATGATAAGAACAAATACATTTTACGATTCATCTTTATCCGTATAAGTATATATTACATTGTTCAAAGAGCTCTACTAACATTGTACTTATAATTAATAACCACATTAATTCTTATTAACATGAAAAGGAAATTTGACTTGACTTTCACATTTAGAAACAATCACATGTCAATGTTGTATATATTGATAGCTGACGGTATATTAGTCAACAAGAACAGATTATCTAGTGTGTTTATCTATTATACAAAAATGAAAGTTTGTCAAACAATCAATATTCAACAATAATGTTAACTTTTGTTGGAATTTCATTATAATCTTAGTTACCCCGATTTATTCATAGACTTTCTACAACATTCTTGTTGCAATAATTGAATTTAAGTAAAACAGTTATTTTATTATATCAATGTTAAACAACAGATAATTCACTAGCAATTAAAACATTTCACAGAAATATATAAACAGAACAATATTTATTTTTTATATATTAGATCCACACAATGAATATAATCTTATATACAAAGGTTTATTATTAGTAGTTTGGCACTATGTGTTATAATTACAACACCAATATTGCATGATGACTTAAAACAGACACTAAATTTACAAGCAATATAAAATATTATTGTAGCACATTATTTCAGTATTTGATATCAATTATACTCGTACTTGAGTCTATTTACGTTGTAGCACATTATTTCAGCATTTGATATCAATTATACTTGAGTCTATTTACATAGAAGCATATTATTTAAACAATGATAACAATTGTATTTGAGTCTATTTACATTGTAGCGCATTATTTCAACATTTGATATCAATTGTACTTCAGTCTATTTAAATTGTAGCACATTATTTCAGCATTTGATATCAATTATACTTGAGTCTATTTACATTGTAGCACTTAATATCACTTTATATATGATACTGTTTATAACGATATTTTTGTTTGTATGATGTCATTATAATTATAATTATAATAACACATTGTATAGATATCTATGTTGATATCATTATAGAATATCAACAATAAGATATCAGTTTAGTTACACACCATTAACGCTGTCCAAACTATCAGCGTAACTGTATTTTCTCGGCATTTCCCCTAGATTGTAATTCATCTTTCTTGATGACAATGGTGTATCGGATGTGACAATACTGTCCTCATTAATCCCAGGTAAACAAGAGAACATCGACTTTAAGCTTCCTCGAAACTTTTCAGACATAAATCCATAAATAAACGGATTGATGAAATTGTTAATAAGAAATAAGCAATCCGCGATTTCACCGAAATGAGTTCGAAAATCACTAGGTGGATATACATCTCGTCCAGCAAGTTTTAGGCATTTATGTATAAGTCTTGGTAATGGAAGAACAGCCGCCATTACAATAACAACAACAACTATTTTTGACATGCGCTGTATCGACTTCCGGGTGGCGTCTGTTGTCGTGAAAGAAATAGACCCTTTGACCATACATATTTTTAATATATGAAGGACGCACGTTATAACTAACGGTAGAAAGTACACCGATAACCATAAATACAGCAAAAATTCCTGGGATCGTCCGGCCAGAATAATTCCTGCATTTATAAGTGCTGTTAGACTTCCTGTTATTATTATTCCAATTATCCACACAACTATAGACGATATTATCACCTTTTTAATTGTTAGATAGGCATTAGCTCTTAACGGATAAGCCAACGTGATATACCTCAAAACAGCTAACAAAGCCACGTGTGTATTTGCTGAGAACCAGAAAATGGATTTCAGAATATAATATGGTGAACTTATTATAACTGGAGATGAGCACGTGACAGATAAGATAACTCTTTCAAATGATGTTGTCAGATTTAGAGTAAGAAACAATAAATCAGCAATAGCTAAAGCAGCTATAGCAACAAATGTCGGGTCATGCAAGTTCCGGTCACGAATGACTCGTGTTATTACAAACATGTTGGCCACTATTCCAATGATAAACAATGTCTCAATGGCGCTGTATATGCATGCTGTGTCGCAGTAACCACATGAAAATGTTTGATAACTACCGTAACTTCTCCTGTTACCACTACCACGTGAAGAATTTCCCACAGTGACGTCATCTTGTGTTAAATTACCACACGAAGAATTTCCCACAGTGACGTCATCTTGTGTTAAATTTCCACACGAAGAATTTAATACACCCATCGCGTTCTCCTTCATTGCCAAAGTAACATTGTCCAAGAAACTGTTTGTTTCACACATTGTTAAATGTCTGTGGACAAGTATGTTAATACATAGATATATACTAGTTAACATTGTCCAAGAAACTGTTTGTTTCACACATTGTTAAATGTCTGTGGACAAGTATGTTAATACATAGATATATACTAGTTAACATTGTCCAAGAAACTGTTTGTTTCACACATTGTTTGTTAAATGTCTGTGGACAAGTATGTTAATACATAGATATATACTAGTTAACATTGTCCAAGAAACTGTTTGTTTCACACATTGTTTGTTAAATGTCTGTGGACAAGTATGTTAATACATAGATATATACTAGTTAACATTGTCCAAGAAACTGTTTGTTTCACACATTGTTTGTTAAATGTCTGTGGACAAGTATGTTAATACATAGATATATACTAGTTAACATTGTCCAAGAAACTGTTTGTTTCACACATTGTTTGTTAAATGTCTGTGGACAAGTATGTTAATACATAGATATATACTAGTTAACATTGTCCAAGAAACTGTTTGTTTCACACATTGTCCAAGAAACTGTTTGTTTCACACATTGTCCAAGAAACTGTTTGTTTCACACATTGTCCAAGAAACTGTTTGTTTCACACATTGTCCAAGAAACTGTTTGTTTCACACATTGTCCAAGAAACTGTTTGTTTCACACATTGTCCAAGAAACTGTTTGTTTCACACATTGTTTGTTAAATGTCTGTGGACAAGTATGTTAATACATAGATATATACTAGTTAACATTGTCCAAGAAACTGTTTGTTTCACACATTGTTTGTTAAATGTCTGTGGACAAGTATGTTAATACATAGATATATACTAGTTAACATTGTCCAAGAAACTGTTTGTTTCACACATTGTTTGTTAAATGTCTGTGGACAAGTATGTTAATACATAGATATATACTAGTTAACATTGTCCAAGAAACTGTTTGTTTCACACATTGTTTGTTAAATGTCTGTGGACAAGTATGTTAATACATAGATATATACTAGTTACACATGTAACAGTCATCCACTTATAACCCTTCCCTAATGCAGTATAGGTCCACTTAAGATTGTTTATACCAAGCCTTATATAGACAAGTCATCTATGTTGTCTTCGTAAACAAACATTTTTAATCCAAAACAATTTTTAAACTTTTTTTCGAAAGCATCTCCGTTTTCCGACAACATTTATAAACAACAAACTAAACAACCTCCACCATTTTTAACACCGTTATATCTCAATTAATGTAAATACTACATTAATTAACGAATTGTATATACTGTTCATTGACCGTATAAAACATTTGCATAAAAACATAAGAAAATAGGCCAGAAATATTCTCCTTGTTACTCTTCATAAAACACGCGTAACAAGTTCAACTACTGACAGATGAGAATGTGAGATATATCTAACGCGCTGTAAAATCTGTTCAATTTGCGAATTATTGTAACGATATAAATGTTTAAACAACAAAAAAGTTCCAGATAAGTTCAAACATCTGGAAGTGTAATAAAGCAGCATATTGCTGGTAAATTAACATAGATCTCTACTACTTGAAACTGAAGGTAATTGTTGCACTACAGCTGATGTTAACTCATCATATGTGCAGCAACATGTTGATAGTAGAAGATTCGTTTACTGCCTAGAATTAATCATAAGTTTTATGTTAAGATTGCTCATCTTATCGCTACATGATAATTAGCAGTAAAATTTGTAATCATTAAATAGTTGTTTGAATCTCGAGCCAACTGCAATCCTCAAAATCCTCACTAGCTACAAAATTTATTCTAGTTTGATCCTGTAGAATATGGTGGCTGATTTGTGCCATTCGTGTTTTCGCCCCGCAACCCCACCAAGCGAAAAGTCGAAAATTAACAAGTTAAAATGGCGGGGCAGGGAGCGAAAACAAGCTAATTAAGGAGAACGCGGGGCAAAGTTTAAGAAATAAAACTTCGCCCCGCGGGTGCGCGGAGCGATATTAAAGAAATAAAAGGCGGGAGCTCGGAGCGGAAACACGATAATTAGCGACCCGCCATTTAACTTATTTATTATCGACTTTTTGCCTGGTGGGGTTGCGGGACGAAAACATGATTATGAGCTTGTTCGCGTGGCGAAGTTTTACTTATTAAACTTAGCCCCGCGCCCCCGCTAATTAGCCTGTTTTCGTCCAGCGACCCCTCCGTTTTATTTCTTAAACTTCGCCCCGCGCCCTTGCTAACTAGAGTGTTTTCGCTCCACGCCCCCGCCATTTTAAACTTTTGGCTTGGCGGGGTCGCGAGACGAAAACACGAATGGCACAAATCAGAAAGCTTTAAGCTTAAAGAAACACATTCTAGTGGTTCGTTCCTAGGACCAACGAGTTCTAAGTATTGAATGTAAAGTTCATCGCATAAGGAAACAAAGGGATACATCTGTGATTATAAACGTTATCTTAAATACGTGATATAGCAATTATTTTGGGAGCAAAATATTTATTTACAGGATCATTCAGTATCTACATTAAGTCAAATACTATTAATTTACAGAAAACAGTGCAATATATGTTTGATCAAATGACCCCCTTGTTTTCCATGTATTTTTTCTATTTTGTATTTCGTTTTTATTTCAAACGTTATAAAAGGTAACCAATCAACTTCAAGCATTTGCACTACGTGATCTCCCAATATATGTCAGTATTGGATCAAATCTATATCAATTTAGCTTCTTTCTCAATTTGTCAGTCCAAAAATGCCATATCAAACCAGTATCGTACTCCATCTAGTCCAAAAAATTCATTTTCAATAATAATTGTACTCGAAGAATCAAAGTTCTGTCAACATATCAAAAATTTGATGGTGTGAAATAAATATGTTTAAATGCATTCTTTGTAATCTATATGGCTTTTACATAGCTGCCCAATATGTTTGAGACTCGTCTAACGCCTCGTCCAATATAGTTGTGACAGCTGTGTTCTCGTCCAATAGAATACAGTATTGTACTCAACAATGTGAAATAACCTAATATCTTATATTCTACGAAATGTGGTTATTGCCAGTAAAATTGTTTTATTATCTGAGAAAGTGTACTTATTTTGACTTCTTTTTCTGTAGAAAGAAATGAACGGTAAACATGCAGTTTATTAAAAACCATTTGATGTTAGAAAGATAAAAACAAAATAAAGCGATAAGAATTTGGCAACACTTCCATCCTCATAATCTAATAGATCTAAGCTTAGATACTGTTAAAGATAAAGAAGGCAAACATACTATATGTAATAGATCTATAATAAAAACACATGTTGTATAAACAAAAGTTGTAAAGTTATTTTTAGTGAAGTTATGTTTGGTGAAGTAAATATTGTGAGCTTTATATATGCAGTTTAACATGGCCGTGTTCTGCAGTTCTGTAATAACATTACAGTACTAACTTTATCATGGCCGTGTTATGTAATAACATTACAATAATAACTTTAATATGGCCGTGTTCTGTAATAACATTACATATATAATTTTAACATGGCCGTGTTCTGTTATAACATTACAGTACTAACTTTAACATGGCCGTGTTCTGTAATAACATTATATTACTAACTTTAACATGGCCTTGTTCTGTAATAACATTACATTACTAACTTTAACATGGCCGTGTTCTGTAATAACATAACATTACTAACTTTAACATGGCCGTGTTCTGTAATAACATTACATTAATAACTTCAACACTTCCGTGTTCTGAAATAACATTACATTACTAACTTTAACATGGCCGTGTTCTGGAATGACATTACATTAATAACTTCAACACTTCCGTGTTCTGAAATAACATTACATTACTAACTTTAACATGGCCGTGTTCTGGAATAACATTACATTAATAACTTTAACATGTCCGTGTTCTGTAATAACATTACATTAATAACTTCAACACTTCCGTGTTCTGTAATAACATTACATAACTTACTTTAACACGGCCATTTTCTGTAATAACATTTCGTAACTAACTTTTCACACTCGCTTACTCAATTAGATTTTACTATTTTAGTTTCCGTGGCTTTCGAGAGTTTTTTTCTCCACTTTTCCGACTAATACTGATTGTTGTAGTCCACGAGTGATTAAATTAATGTTATTTTTAATTTGATTTTTAGCGGACTAATTGTTTCAAAGTACTATCCTGCGCATCGGTCGAATGTTCCACTATCGCTCACTTCTGAAGTAACGTGAGTGTATTCAGTGAGCTGCGAAGGGAGCGTAGTTTCAAAGTAGAATCTATATGATATGAATATTTTATTTATTGTGAAATATCTGACTATAACATATCTATTGATACTTTTATAGAAATATAAATCATATCTAGCCACGATGAATTATGTTTAAAAAACATTTCTGATAAAATGTTTAAAAAAAAATATTTAAATTTTCTGTCAACAAATTATTTTTTTTCTTTCTTTGCCCATGTACACTCTATAGAAACAATATGAGAAATTAACGTTGTAAAGAATAAGCTTGTCAAACGAAAACTTTGTCATTCATATGATCTTAAATCACATACAAAATCTGTAATATGTATAATTGCCATGTGCAATACTTATTAATTAGTAAATATTTTGCCTTTCTGGTGTCACATGATCAATTCTAAGGACCACAATGGAAATAAGTCGGCTTATGCCTTCTTTTTGTGTCATCCTTGGTATTGAATATATGGCATCAACACATGCACTTTCATGTTTACATGTATCTCTTGATGTTGACATTGAATTTGTAGTTGTTTTATGACATGTATTTTTTACCAGAATAAAACTATCTATCTATGCCATAAACAAGTAATTCATATATAAAAATAAATAACACTGGCCTTAACAAATGATCTTCAGATGAGACATTCCCTTTGGTATTTAAGTAGACAATACAAACAATGAAACACTCCGGAAAATAAAAGATGATCCAACTTCCGTAACAAAAAAAACTCTCTCTCTCTCTCATCTCACATTAAATACAAGAAGTTGAAAAATCACTTTGAATGAACGGAAACAAACCATTTAAGTACGTCATACTTGAGAATGTTGCGATAACTAACCCAGATTTATTAATCATCAAATGTATAACCATGTTTGACGATTGATACATATGGTATTTGTCTGACTAGTATCAATATACACATGTATAAATTATAGTCTAAAGTTATAGGAGGTAGGCAAGTTGAGTTCAATATAAGACGAGGTCTTAGCCGTGAGTTTATGAGGTTTCAATATCCTAAGTCAAATTAATACATGTATATAGCATCATCATCATCATCATCATCATGTTCATCATCATCATCATGTCCATCATCATCATCGTCATTATCATGTTCATCATCATCATCATCATCATCATGATCATCATCATCATCATCATGTTCATCATCATCATGTTCATCATCATAATCATCATCATGTTCATCATCATGTTCATCATCATTAACAACAACAATAACAATCACAGCAACACAAGATGGTCGAAACACTATTCTTTACAGTTAATCAAAAGTTTGTCCCAAACGCTGTATCACT